TAAATGAAGAACAATAAGAAGTTAAATTTTAGTTTGCTGTTGTACACAATTGTGATTTAGTATATTTCAGTGAATATTAGATTTTTCTGCATTGCAACAAACATTGATTTATTTATTTATTTATTATTAATGCATACATTAACCTTTGAACTTATTTATTACCCAGAATCATAATCACCTTAAAATTAAAAAAAGGAAGAAATAAAATGGCAGATTTAGGGTGTGGGGCAGCCTTCCTTTTGAAAAGTTAAAAGAAAAGAAAAAGAAAGAAAAAATTGATTGCCAAAAAAAAGCCTCAGTGGTTATTTTTGGGCATCTAGAAAGCAAAAATTTTGCATAAGAATTCCCCTGAACCGCTTAAGGTAATGTTGTCTCGATCAACCCCACTTTTGCCCCCCCCCCCTTTTTGGACATCTCTGGATCCAGCCCTGTATGGGATAGTTTGCTTAATACTTCAACTTTTTTTTCTTTAGATGAGCTTGATGGTACTGAAAGTAAAATGTATAGTTCGGAACAAACTAGCGATAACGACACTTCTTCATCGACGGGTGAGGATACACAAGAGACTACCGATAACCTATCACAAGAGTACATTCCAGAAAAAATCACTGTACCTCCACGGTTTGAACTGCGGGAGTCGTCATTAGGAAACACTGGTTTAGGGGTGTTTAGCCTCGCTGATGTTCCTATAGGTGAGAAATTTGGACCTTTCAAAGGAGTTGAGAGAAGGACGATAACCAACAGTGAATTTGCATGCAAGGTATGCCAAGTTTTTAAAAAAATTTGATTTAATTTTTCATCTTTTTTTATTCTCTTGTTAATTTTTTAACATAGTATTTCTGAAATCATGGTCCACTGAAATTTTGACAATCATTAAGAATTATGATACAACATTTGAAGAAACAAACAAGACAAACAATAATTTAAAAGGTTAAGTGTATGTTCTGTAAAACAGAACATAGGACTTTTCCTCATTGACATAATTAGAACTGATGTTAAACTTAGAAAGTAAAAACCATATATCTGTCTCTTATACACATCTACTCCTCTTGGTTTGATTTATGTGAAGATATCATATTAAAAATGGTTTCAAGAATAATAATGCAAAAATATGATCCCATTGCATTATTTATATTTTCTTTGGAGAACTTTTAACATGAAAAAAACTAAAGAAATAACCAATTAAAAGTTTATAATCTGTAACCGTTTTTGTTTTCTGGTTGTTATAGAGATAAGATGAGACTCAAACTAGGGCTAAATTTTATTTTGGTTAGGGTTTTAAGAAAAACCAAGCACGGAAATTGATTAAGCGTTAGACAGAATGATCCTGTGCAAAAGCAAAATAAAATGGTTGAGAAAGAAAAATTGAAACAGAACCAATGGCTTTTCTGCTAGTGCAGGAAAAGCCAAGTATTCGTATATGTGTATAAAGATGTGACCACTTTGGTGAGAGATCATTCTTTGCTTGAAGAAATATGTTTGTGAATGATAGGTATTTGGTAAACAGATGTAAATTGACAAAGTATTCATGAAGAGTTGTTCAACATTTCTGTACATCCAATTAATAAAAAAAGAATAAAATATATTCTACATAAACAGAATTACATCTAAAATGAGTATATGTCATGCTTATAATCATATATTATGTTTTCGAAGTACATTTAACGATAAATTATTACAGTATGCACCACATACAAAAGCGGTAACCATTTTAAATAAAGACGTTAATGAAGAAAAATGAATGTTGAAAACGAATCTTTGAATTAGGTTTGTGGGTCGCTTTCTCCATGGGTTCAACACATTGTAGTTTTATTTCCTTTGATGGAGATGAATCAACTGTTTTTTTTTCTTGATGGACAATTGGGGCGCAAGACAGATTTATAGTACTCAGTTGAGCGATAGATAAGTTAAACACTTCTGTTCTCTCTTCTGATCCATGCCCTTCTCCAAATATAAAAAATTATAGGAATGTCTGGAGGTTTTGTAATCAATATAGCCAGACAAATCTATGTCATAAAATTCATCTTCCTCCTTCATCTCTACATCTCTGTTTTCCTGTCCCCTCCCAAGACACCAATAACTGCAGAACCCGCAGAGATACTCCTGGTCAGAGGTGACTGGTTGTTATGGAAGCCAGATGCCATTCTCCTGGTATTTTACTTTGATGAGCTTTGATGATGTTTGTGTTGATAGATTTCAGGAGTTTTTGTCTCGAATCAGCATCTGCTCATCTCATCATACCTGGAGAACTCATCCCCTACCTAGCAATGAACCATGACCTTGCATGTCCTGAGGGTCAGAGCAGAGGCCTGTTGATGTACGATCTTGAACAACAGAGGTACTACATTTGCCTGGAATTAACTGAAGATAGGTTAGGAGGAGGGTAGGCTAGGGGAGGTTAGGGTAGGCTAGTTAGCCTATGATTAGGATGTCTGACTTTTGAGGCCTGTTTGTTTGGAGATAGAGCAAGTTTGAATTCTACTGTTGTTATACGATTCATTCTACAAATATAGTATAACACTGTAGTATATATAGTGATCTGCAGAACTTCACATTAAGTGCTGTAGTATATGAAATAGAACATAGATCGGTTATTATTAATATTATTATTTATATTTATTATTCAACACATAAAAAGGAAAAAGAAAATTGACAAAAAGTGAATAATAGCCTTGGCTGAATTGCTCACCAATTACAATCAAATTTAACAATTTATATTTAGAAAAAGACATGCAAAATTAATATCCTTCTAGCTCTCATTTGGCGAGACTTTTTATACCTTTTTTAGCGGACTCGCTGCCCGCTAATAATGATGATTTATAATTAAAAAAACACTTTTATTTTTGGCAAAGCAAAATCAATACAATAATTAGACTTAATTGCATATTATATGTTAGATGGCTATTAATAATGTCTTTTTTTACAGTACCTATATTTACCATTGAGATAACAACTCTTAAGTTTTTTACTTCTATTTATTTTACTGGATTCTGTACTCTCTTTTTTTATAGACTTTTTATCACTTTGTATGTGTTTACTTGAATACTTACATACTATATACTTAATACTATACTAATATACTTAATTTCATCTATAAATTGGGATTTTCCAAAAGTTAATTACTTATATAGACCATAAAATACTTATAAATTTTAAAATTAATTTAACAACCAAAAATGGAAAATATCATGTAATATCAAATCATTACAGAAAGATTACATTATTTAAAATTTAGTTTCATGTCTATAACAATATTAACATTTAATATATAATTTGTATATACACATATTGTAGAAAGAGATTAAAAAATGGAATATATGTATGCATGACAATAAGTGACACTGTAAATGATAAAGTAGCCGCCTACAGTACACTCGCACCTCATAAATGATATTATTGCAGACTTTTTTGCAATATTGTACATGCGAACAGTAGTTTACTATAATGTGTCATTCCGTTGATTAGTGATAAAGAGTTATTGAATGAAGGAAATAAACATAGCTAACATGAGTAGGAATTTATAGGCATGTTTGACATGAATGCTTTACATCAATTGGAAGTTCAAGAAATAGAGATTGAAAAGATTCACACAGCACAAAGCCCAAATGTGATATGTGAGTGACACTGACACCAAGTTTCTTAGTACAGAAACCCAGGTTCAAGGTAATAAGACAGTCTACTAACAAGTTCATTGATTTAAAGTTCATGTTATTCAATTGTTTTTGTTGTGTGCTTTTCCCATGTAGGCATTTCCTTGATTTATTAATTTATTTGGAATTCAAATTGGCAATGATAAAAGATGAAATACATCATAAATTACAATATAAACTGAGAAACATATTTGAATGCTGAGGTGGTGCAATAAGGCCTACTGTAAAGGTTCAAATGAGGGTATAACCGATTTTAATAGAATGTTGATAAAATTTAACGACTGACCAATTAGAACAAGTGTGGGGGGGGGGGGGGGGGGGGGGGGGGGGGGGTAGGGTAGAAATATGCACTTGTCCCACAATGTGCTATTTTACGTATATTTACTCTGTCATTTTGTGGAACTTCGGCAACAATATCCAAGCGACGAGGCTTAGCTAAACGGTCTATTGTTGCAGCCTTCTAAAAAGAAGGAATATATACAGTTGAATCCAGAGATATTCCAGAGGCGAATTCAAGGGTAGGGGAGGGGAATCCATCGTTCTTTCTTTTCTTACCTTGCCTTCCCCCTTTTTTTTTTTGAGTGGGAGAGGAAATATTCCCCATTTCTCTCACTACCTTAAACCTGCCCCTGACCTTTTTCTGTGTTAAGAAAGACAGTCGTAGGGCCTTTAGGGTAAGTAAAGTGCTATAGGGTCTATCAATACATAAACCAGTGCACTGTTCAGTTCTTTTCTTCTTGTAAGCCTACTTCTTTTTTAAAAATTAATTTCTAGCGTCGATTTTTGTGCACAAATAGCAAATTGCAAATTAAATATTGTCTTCAGTATTGTGATTAAAACCAATAAGCAAATTTCTTGTTATCTACTTGTGTACAAATAATACATAAATTATACTATTTAAATTGAATTTTATGAGAAAATTCATTAGGGCAGGAGATCAATAATTTGCGAAACGAATAATAAATAAATGGATTAAGAATAAAATGAATAGCAATTATGTGAGGAAATTAGCACGTAATAAAAGAAGTTCAAAAGTAATTATCATAATGAATGTTTCAAATTTATCGAGAAAAATTTGTAATTCAACATGCTTCCCCTCTCAATAAGATTCTAAAATTATATTCAACAAGATGTAGCTTCAGTTGTCTGTCTCATTAACTCAAAGAATTTGAAAATAGAAATTGTCTTCCTGGCCTTAGTGACTCTTCATGTGACACGATCGTGCTTAGAGTTTGTCTCGCCGATCCAAAAATGAACGGGAATCTGGAAAAACAGATGGTTTTTAGGCAACATTATTATTTGATTGTAATTAAATGGCTTATCTTCCGAAGCCCTCATTGTGGCTAATATGAGAACATATTTGGGATTGAAATTATAATATATAATCAGAGAGTAAAGTCATGCCTGCTATAGTACATTTTTTTGGGGAGGTTTTGTTTTCATTATTCATGAGTCAGTACTGTATAGTACAACAACCTGTCCATAATATAAGTTATTTATTAAATTTTAATAAATTGATGTATTTTCTGTTGTATTGATGACAATTGAAAATTATATTTTGTGACATAAAAAAAAAGCATTGTTGTAGGCCTAACAAAATGAGAAGTCTCAAATTTAACCTACTCCATAAGTCACCTAATTCTCTGGTCTTCCTTCAGTACTCAAAGATTCTGCAAATATTTCAATACATTTTGTTTATTTTCTTGTTAAAGATGTACTTTCCCTTGAAAATTACCAAAGTCATAAAAAATAATTTTTAAATTAACTTGCTTATTTTGCACTAATTGTAATAAAAAAGTATAATTATAATAAAGATAATAAAACATTTCCAGTGACTGGAAGTGTTTCTATCATTTTTCTGCTGTAAAATGATGGTTGTTTATGGGCAAAGCATTTTTTAAATACACTAATTTCTATTTTGATAATTTTTATGTTACTTCAAAATGGGCAAGTAAATTTCAAAAATGATTTTTATGATTTTTTTTTGTTTTTTGCAAGGGACAGTACATCTTTAAGTCATCTTTTCTGTGTAGTAATTAATTTGTGTATTTTAATTAGGTAATGTAGGATAATAATTTGTGTATTCATTTTACTTATATATTTGCAATTT